CTGCCCGAACTCGTTCACTATCTTTGCCCTCTTGCTCTTGAACTCCTCTCTATCTCTCAGCTTCACTTCATCTACCTGCTGCACATAGACCATCAACCTTGAAATGTCCATGTCTCTAATAAGCATTGTTGCCTGACCCTTTTTGCTTGATAGATGGCCCAACCCAGCAACAAACAAGCTCTCATTCGACTCTTCATGTCCTTAACCATCTCTGGAGCATATCGGGATAGTTGGGTGAAATTCAACCCATATTCATGAACGCTGAGAGAATCCTGCTTAAGTGTTAGAAATTCCCGTACCTTAGCCTCTTTCAATTCTCGGGGAAAGAAAAGCCCCAAGAAAGCCTCTTCAAAACATGCCCAACTCGTAGGTGGTGCATCCTCAGCTCTACCCCCTTTCCATTGATCAAACCAAGTCCTAGGAACATTCTTAAATTGATATGCAGCTAGCTCAACTCGTTCAGTGTCAGCAACATGCATTACCTTGAAAACCTTCTTCAGTTCCTCAGTGAAGCTCTCTGGATCCTCTGTAGTGCTCGAACCAGCGAAACTTGGAGGATTCATCCTCAAGAACTCATGAATCCTCGAAGTATCAGCCTTTTCTTGTCGAGCTCCTCTTTGTTGACCAACCTGGTTAGTCACAGCTTGACTCAACATCCAGATAACCTCACGGAACTCAACATTAGTGACTTTGCTTTGCGGTTGCACTTCAGGTGCATTGAGTAACTCTTGCTCTTGTGATTCAACATTGCATCTCACAGGACGACCTTTGACATCTCTTCGTGGAGGCATAATTATCTGAAAAGCATGCACAAGCACGAGTTAGAGGGAAACTTTTAGAGATTAAACTCTAACGCACGAAATGAGTGTGAAAGAAGTGAAGGAATTTCTAACTGTTGCAGAGTCCCAATTAAAGATGTGGCGCACTTCACACCAATAACTAGGCCTCTACAGACACGACTTCATAGACTCCCTAGGACTCTTGAACTCTGGGTTGTGATACCAAGTTTTTCACGCCCCGAGCCTACACCTTGGGCGGGACTGGCACTCGAAGACTATTGCTGGCCCTAAGCGAACCCTTGGCTTGGCTTACTTAAATTAACGGAAGACTTAAAATCAACAAAGATAAGTTCATATAATAAACTGGAATGTTATAAAGGAACATTCAACTGGCCATTAAGGCAAACTCAAGTTTCAACATGGAATAATGACAATGAAAAAACTAAAGAACTAATATCTAACTGTCTATGAAGCCTCTAATAACAACTGAGATGGATGTTGGAACAAACCCCATAACATCCTAATGAACTAAACTAGGAAACAATGAAATGGATCCTTTGGAATGCAAGGAAGCTCACCAATAGACTCTAAACTGCTCACTGGATCAACGATGTTCTGGAATGCCGATCCTAGTTACCTGTGTCTGCATCATAAGACGATGCAAGCCAACTGGCATTAGTACATTGAATGTATGAGTATGCGAGTTGGAATGCTAAAACAATATAGGCTTGAAAGGGAATTTGAAAGAAACACTTACCTTGGATCTTCTCAACTCATGAATACTTAACTGAACTCATTTCAATATAAAGCAGTTTAAAACAAGTGCAATATAAAGAGAAGTTGTTTAAAAACATGATGTCAACTCTGTGTATATACAAGGATACAACATAACTCTGAAATGTATGTAAAAATGCAATAACTGATGTATATAAAATACAATAACTTCTGTGGGAGTTTCTCTAACCGACAACCATCACATAAGAGCAGTAGTGCTGATACAATGATCTACGTCACGCTGTCGGCGCATCCTATACCCGACCAAAGGTATAGAACCTGAACTACCCTATTGATCTACTAATCTATTGCGAAAAGGATTCATCTAAAAAGTATAACCCTTTTCTACCAATGGTGGCTACATGGTTTTATGGTGACGTGAGTTATCTAAACTCATGCTCGTCCTCAATTAGGTGCTCAATACTACTCCCAAAATATACTGGCTCTTATGTTTTAGAAACATACTTCTTCTGTGATTTGAGATTAGTGCTCAAAAATTTAGCTCAAAGGCTCTCTTGGAAATCAAAGTTTCCCCTCTTGCTTCATTTAGAAAGCGATTACTTTTTCTGAAAAGTGGCCTGAAGGCTATTTGGAAATCTCAGTTTCCGCTTATATTTAAATGTGAAAACATTTTAAATCTCTTTGGGAATACATAGTCCCCATATATTTCTTTGAAGAAACGAACTTCAACTTTAGATCCTTACTAAACTCGAAGCTTAATTCTTAAAACAAAGTTAAAACATTTGTGAAAGACTTTTAAAAAACTTTAAGAACTCATCTTAACTTGACTCTTGACTTCTCTTGACTTTGACCTTAACTGCTCTTGACTTGACTCTTAACTGATCCTTGAATTGAAAAATGGATTCAAGGATTAAGATTTATGAGTGGAAAGGTCTCATGATGTTTAGAAATGATTCTAGATTGTTAAACATGAGAAAATACCAAAAATCAATATTTGAAGGTGGGTCCGCAACATGGAGGCATAATTTAATTTTGGTTGCGAAAACATCTTCTGAGGCAGAACACCTCATGTCAGCTTCGCGACGCGAAGCTGAAATGATCAAATCTGGGCAATAGGTGCACGACGCGCGGCCACCCCTTAATTTCATCCGATGAAATTTCTTCTTCATTTTCCAACCCCGATTCACCCAAATTCGGTTCTTTTCTCAAATTTCTTTTAGATATAGATACCCAACAAATTTACCTAAGAACCTAACTCGAAACAACCTTATAATTCAACGTAACGAACACAAGAACTTCCCAACTTAGTCAAATTCAAGAACAATATATGAATTCAAGAATAGGTATCAAGTTCATCAATATTCAAATTCTTTTAGGACGAATCCAAACTGAAATAAATATGATTGGCATGTGGGAGAACGATCCCAACATAATGAGAGCCTCACATACCTGATAAAAGTAAATCCTTGGCGAAACACGAACTTCGTTGATCGATCTTGATGAATTTACCCTTTTCTCCTTCTTCTTTAGCCCTAGCGTGAAATCCCGAGTTCTAAAACTGACAAAGTTCTGAATTGACCCATATTAAGCTCCTAAAATTGGATTAAAATAATAGGGCAGTGAAAAGACTAAAATACCCCTTATATTTCCGGATTGGACATTTCCTTAATCTAACAACCCAACTTTCAAAGGGCATAACTTGCTCATACGAACTCGGAATTGCTCATACTTAGCGGCGTTGGAAAGATCATTCCAAGAGTCTCCCAACCATATCTGGAAAGACACCTAAATCATCGGGAGCGAGTAGTTATGGCCGTCTAAAATTGACCAAAATTCAACTTTAACTTACTTGCAATTTTCCAGATTTCCTTATACTTTCAAAAAAAAAAAAAACTATTTCCAGATTTTAAACTTCCTTCTAGTTCTTTCTAGTTGCGAGATGTTACATAGATACCCGATCTTGCTTATTCAGCAAACATAAAGATAATCAAACACAAAAGGTATAATAGTTGGAACCATTCGAAATCTAATGTGCCAAAAGTAGATAAATGGCTCTTGTGCAGACCAAGACATATGACCACAATAGATGCCTCTCAAATTTCATTCTTGCAACAAAAATCCACAACGAGATAGCTCAAGTAGCAAAGGAGATTTCATCCAACAAATGAAAAAAAAAGATCTCCAACGAATCAAAGATAACCTCCCCAACAATCAATCACATTCGTATGAGAAATTCAATAATGAAGATGAAGAAGGCATATATTTTCAGCCAACTAAACATCATAATGACATCACAAAACATCATAAAAATGATGTCACCTATAACATTAGCATGTATTGGCTGAATTTATTGTGGGTGATACTATAACACAACTATAGCACTTTTTACTATACCAAATATGTCCCTGATGATGTGGGGGAATAATTGGATAGAAAATATTGAGTAACACCCATCCCAGCAAATTTACAATCGAAAGTATTCTCATCAGTCTTCAACACATCAACCTTATATAGCTGAAGATATGCTAAGCCCTAATGGCACGACAACATGGGCAATTGGAAGCAACTCCCAAGAAATAACATTTTTTATTGCTTGTGTAAGGTCTTTTACATTTCTTGCACATATTCCACGTTCAAATTCTTAATTTTTCAGAATTACTACCCAAATGACATTTCTCCTCAAAGAATTATTATAAAGCTCCATAAAGGGGATAAAGTTAGATTTTTTTCTTAGGACATTTAAAGCAAACTATTAATTATGGTCTCTTATTCGATAGAAACCAATATAAGAGATGACATAAAAAAGTAAATGTGATAGAAATGCAGATGAGGAAGAGAGAAAATGATAAGTAGAAAGCTAAGTTAGACAATATTGGCGCAAGGAAGACTCTTCAAGAGCTTGAAGTTGAAATGTAGAGAAACATACGCAAATTCGAATGAGTATTAAAAATACAATCTCTTATTTTGAATAAAACATTCCTTTCACTTTCCATAAGTTCTAGAAATCCAACTGACATAAAAAAATAGTCCCCAGAAAATTAAAAATTAAAGATTGTAACCACTTGAGAAAAATACTTTCACTTTAGAAAGTCCTTATGATGAGTTCGAGTTTTTTCTTATAGCATTGGCTTATCATGTTGATAATTCACTTTGGAAAATTTTCTATTCCTTGAAACATGACCCTTGGTGTCCCTGCCACCTGCATATGTAGAAAATTACTTTCTATATCAAATAAGTAAAGAATAGTAAGCAAAGTTCGACAAAAGTACACACCTGAACAACAGAGTAAACTTGATCATACTCACTTCCATATTCATTAGGTAGGATCAAAATTGAAGCTCCAATATTCTGATAGAGATCATCCATATTATGGAAATTCAAATACGCATCACAATTTTCCCACTCATTTAAATCACTTATTTCATTAGCACTTGTATTTGATGTTGCAACAGTATTGCTTGGCACAAACATGTTTTGTTCACTGATCTATTGCTGGAAATTAGTATTTGCTGCTCCTGATCCATTGATTATCGCATTCCCACCATTCATATCAGTCATCATTGCACTAGTTGAATTTGTTGTTACATGGACTTGATTGAGACCTGAGCTGTAATCATATTGAGCTTCACGATTAAAGTTGTAATCATGATGATTCCCACTATTAGATGCCGTGTAAAAATTACTATTAGTGTTCTCAATAATTGTGCCTTGCGAACCAAATAACAAGTTATGTTGTTGTTGTAGCCTACCACCATCATTATTTTGGCCCAACAAAAATGGGTTGAGGTAGTGTTGTTGAACATGACGTTGTGGATGACAGAGTTGTTGCTCAGTTGAACTAACATAAATATTGTTGTTATTAACTGGTGAAAACTCCGGATCTCCATGAGTTTGATTTGGTACATTTGTTTGAAGATCAAGTATTCTCCCAAATATTTTATGGCTACTTGTTTCAATTCTTTGTTGGGAACCACTTGAAGATCTCTGTCGAATATATGTTTGCTCTTCTAAAGGTCTCCTTTGGTTGATACGACATCTCTGAAAGGAGAATAATCAAAGAAAAATTGGACTATGAAATTATTTATTATCGTAACTCATTTTTAAGGTATGTTTGCAATGCTTGAAATAAGTCTTTTTTAATAGTAAAAAAATTGTATTGGATAAAACTAAATGAAAAAATTCTTTTCAGTTAAATATTGATGATAATATTTTTTCAAGGAATAGTCGCTACGAAAAATAGTTTAAATTAGCATCGAATAAGAGTCTTCTAAGCATGCAATGAAAGTAATTGGTAGTCCTCATATAATAGCGAGTGGCTTGATAAAACTTTTGAATACTAAAGATGATATAATTTCCAACATTTACACGCATAAGTGATGCAAAATTAAATTTTATCCCAATAAATGCTTTTTGACACACCAACAACATAACCAGTGAAGTCTAATCAAGTGGGTCTGGAGAAAGTAGAGTGTAAGCAGACCTTAACATTACCTCGGGAGGTAGCTAAATGATTTTTTTTTATATGACATTAGTATCAAGATAATTGTAGTAAATGGATGTCACAAGTGTTGATGAAAAATCATCATATTTTCTAGTAACCAATTGTACAATAAAATAATTTGATAATAAATGTATTTTTACCAAACAAGTTACCCCTTAACAAAGACACACACACATATTCGTGTGAAGTATGTATGATTAAATATAATCCATAAATAATTAAGATATACCGATTAAAAAAAAGGAAACAATAAATTTGTTCAACTATTCGTGTGAAGATCCTTTAATCTTTTTAAGAATGTACCTGAAGATAATTGGCAACTTGCATCCTTGTAACACCTGGCACATTCATTATCTCGAGTATCTTTTTTGGTAAGCAACCTACATAATCCATTATAATGTACCTTTAATTTAATCACTACAACAATATTCCTAGATCAATATGAGATACATGTAGATAAGTAATCACCAAACATTAACTGCAAACAAATTTAACGTACGTTAGCTATAAGTATGAATCTCACTATTCATTTCACTACAGATAGAGAAACTAATTGTAGAGAAATTTAATTAATAACAAGGTAAACTTACGTCCATCACCAAGTCATTGTGTAGCTTCCTTGAATTTTTCACGGAGATTCACAGTCCATTCTATGTAGTCATTTCGCTTCAGAGTCTTATCAATACACGTACTTTGTCTTTCTCCTTTGTCAATCACTTTTTTGCCTTTTTTACATGTCTTGCTCCTCAATTTGTATGTTCCTCTTTCAGTCTCATGGATACTATTACTTTGTTTCTCATTATTAATAGACCTAATCTTCTCTCCAACGTGTCCTTTATTTCCCACAAAATTTTCATTACCAATAGTATAAAAATATTTCACATGATCTCCTTTTGGATCAAGTCCTTCTATCACTTTGTCTCTTTGTATTTTCTTCCTTAATACAAATTGCCACAAGTATTTCAGAATATTTTCATCAAGTGACCTTTCCATATACAAGTATGTTCCATTGTCAAAATCCTTCTTTGCCAAGAGTTCATCGTGTTCATCACATACAACTGCATAATTATTTTGATAAGTTCATAATTAGAATTAAATTATATTATACATCATGTGAGTAGTTAATTTATTGTGAACTTTATATATTGTAACAGTAATATTGTGACAATAGAATATATATCATATCACTATATAAACAAAGAACGATTAGGATTGTATAACTTCTGTTTTTAAACAACAAAAATCTTCACTTATTGCATTTAATGATGGTCTATCAAAAATTATTTTAGGTTTGTTTGGACTATTTAGTGATGAATTTCATGGTTAATTTTTTCTGGTAGTGTATTTACTAAAATAAATAACTTTAACCACCAAACAATAAAATCATATAAGATATCCATGCCATATCCATCTAAAACATATGTGATTAGTTAATTTCATTTATATAAACTGAATTTATATATTATAACAGTAATGCAACAAAATAACTATTTATTTTACAACAACTATTATTTTGCAATGAATAATTCTTGTTGTTGAACAATAAAAATTCATCACTAATCTTTTTAATGATTAAATTCACTTAGCTACAGACTATTTAAAAACAAATTAATGATGAACTTCACTGCTAGTTATTTATTTGTAAGTGTATTAATTAAAATGACTGACCTTAACCACTATAACAGTAAGATGAAAGATAGAACAAATACTTACAGAGAGTGACAATATCTAAGGCATCTACTTGTTTCAACAGTTTAAAACAAAACGAATCCGGTGAATGGACATTGACAATCATCACATCAATTTTTTCCTTTCCTTGTGAGAGAATTGACATTGCCACTGAAATCCTATCAACTGTTGTAACTGGATACATCCATGCATTTTGGAAGTTAGTGATGAACATGGAAATGATATATACACATATCTATCATTAGGAGGATCTGCTTAATCATCTTTCAAATTCAATTATGAAGTTTTATGTGATATTGCCCCACTTTACCCTATTCAATTGCATGTATCGATCAACTTATATTTTAATCGATGTGTAACATATAATAAGTGAGATTCACATAAAACAATTATAAATAATATTATTTTATGTTAAATAATTTGATTATATAGAATATCAAAGATCCTATTGGAGGATACTACTATTTATTCTAATTTATCTAATGACTTGTCAAAAATAAATAATCACTAAATAGATCAAATACTATCGAGGATAAAGGTTCAGAGATAATTTTATTTCATGAATACAACTAAATTTGAAGATTTAGAAAAGTATTATAATGGATATATCAATATGATGTAATATTCTCAGTTTACTTATCTATCGTCCTAAAAATGACCTTTTATTGTTGACATCAATAGGATAATTAATCCGATTTATTTGAAGATATTAATTGAAAGTAATTTATAATAACCACATGTTATTACTTGTCTCATATATGATAATATTATTTTTCTTATTTAATGAATATCGTATTTATGCATGCTAATTAAACTACAAACAGTTAAAAGAAATAAGCTAACAAAAGAGTCTTAAACTATTATAGAATACTGAACTGCAAATTGACAAAATACTCTTCTAGAAAAAGGTATTACCTATTATAATAGTACTGAATGGATTATAATGAGGGTATACTTCTACACCAAGTATCTAACATGAAACTCTAACCCATAATTTAGGCATTGACTTTCTGTTTTAGATATTTCTAAAAGTGGAAAATGGATTTTCAAAATCTTTTTTATTCTATCATTTTGATTGTTGTTTAGTTACTTTTGTTCGTACTACAAAGTTACTTGCTTTATGTATGTATACTATTGGTACCTACAAAAGTAGCTTGCAAAGATATTCAAGTAAAAATGATTTAATACACCTTGGACGTGGAAGAATCAATAAATACTAATAAAATAATTGAGAGACAACAAAAAAATACAGAAAAAATCCATAATAACACACATGAACTTAACTTTATTTTTTCCAAAAAACACCAAAATATTGTGGTGTTTGGCTACTAAAATTGTTATACTTATTTTTGCGAGGTAAAATAGCTCAGTAGTTCCATCGTTCTAAATTATTTTAGAGTATAGTAAGATAATTTTAGCATTTATCTAATTTTTAAAAAAATTCTGAAAATTGTCTATGGTGTTGCCAAATTTAAGTAGAGGTAGTAATCAAATTGTTGTTAGGGTTGAGCCAAAATGAAAAATAATATGTGAAACATAGCCATTAAATTATATTTAAATTATTTAATTTCAAAGTAAGGAAAAAACTATTTTAAAATTTAAGGTGCACGTGCTCAAAATGATGAAATATGTAACACCCCTCAAATATGAAGTAGGATAAAGTAGAGCCTCACATGGGTTTTATGCATTAATAACTTGTTAAAATAATGAAGAATAACCTTTTTAGTCAGTTTTAAAGAGTTTGGAAGTCAAACGTCAAGTGACGACCAAGACGTTCGGAAACTAGTCTTTTACGTGTTGGTGTGTTCTAGTATGTTGTTCATGTTTTTATGCGTTGTTTTGAGTCTAAAATCAGTGAAGGTGACCCTAGTGTCTTACTAAATGTTTTTAAGGTCAAAACGTTCGAGTACGAAGCCCCAGGACCACCCTAAGGGTCCCCGAGGAGGATCCCAACCCTTGGCCAAACAAGCTGCCAAGGCAACTTGCAAAATGGTCATGGAGGAGAATGTCCGCGTCGTGGACTTGTCGCGGACTCTTCTGTCTCGAAATTTAATTTCCAGAAACTTGTGGTAAAACTCCGCGTCGCGGACTTGTTTCCCGACAAAATCTGCGTAGGTAAAAACTCAAGTTTGACTTGTTTAAAAGGTCAAACTAAGTGAGGGGTAGTTTGGGTACGTTGGGGAATTATTATAAACGGTTATTCTACCTATTTTAGGGTATTTTAAGTGGTTAGAACCCCAAAACCTAGAATTAGACTTCATTATCCAAATTGAACCTTCCCTCTCAAATAAATTCTCTCTCTAGAACTCCATCGAAGACATTGATGAAGCTTCAAGCTAGGGGAAGAGTTCCTATTGATTTCTCCTTCAAATTCCTAGGAAATTAATCATAAAGGTATGGGGATTTTATCTTTGATTCTCCTTTCAATCAAAGAGCCAAATCCAAGTGATTTCAATGTTTTTCAAAAACACTAAAAACCCCAATTTCAGTTCTAAGCTTGGGTTCTTGCATTAAAGTATTTCAAATGATGATTTATGTTAATATTGATGGTTTTAAGATCAAAAACTCCATGAACCCTTGCATATCTTGAAATCCTAATTTTGGATCTAAAGTGGGTCTATTGATTATGAGCTAATAATGTGCTATTAATATGTAGATTGTTATGGGCTATTGATTTATGTATTGTTCTATAATGAATTATGAGGAATTGATGGTCAATAGTGTTATATTGGATGTTGGCCTTGAATGGACAATTGTGACCTAAGGCTTATGATGATGATGAAGTTGTGAATAGATTATTGATTCTAGTATTATATATATATATGTAGTAGATGTTAGAATTGTGAGGTTTGATCCCTTTGAAAGTGGGGAGGTGTTTACTTTATAAGCATGTTGTGATCATATCCCTTTGAAAGTGAATGATAATATTATCTTTCTTTATTCTGTATATATCTTTCCTTCTATTGTATAAATAAATAATTTCAATATATATATATATTTTGAGATAGTTTAGGCATGTGAAGATGCGGTATGATGATGGGTAGATTTGCTCCCATTTGAGATCTATTTAGCTCAGTAATTAGTATCCTCAATGTCTAATTTTGTCCTATTATGATAAAATATTGATGATTTGCAGCTACAAAGGCAAATTGATAAGGGATGGATTGATGTTTGAAGGAATGACCAAAATGCAAAAGAAGTACAAAACATACATTGTTGATCGCTTAACAAGAAGGAAAGATCGCCAACTAAGCACGAGCTTGCGCAAAATGATAGTGCATGGCATTTGTGTCTATCAAATTAAGTGGATAGACTCCAATAGATAAGGCGATTCACCGAATGAGAAAGGCGGTCGTGCAATAAACATCGCCCAAATGAAAGTGTTAAAAGAAAAGAGTGATTGCTCGTCAGACTAACCAAGGTTGTTCTCGGACATTTGTCGAACGTCAAAGGCTGACTTAATCAAGTTCACCTAATGAGGTTCAAACACCTTAAGCCTAGAGCATGAAAACATGAGCTTAGGAGTAAGAGGTAATTCGCCAAATCTAGCTCGGCAAGCCCGACTAATGTCGCCGATTGAGTCGTGTATTAGGGTTTTGGGCCTAATTTTAGAAAATTATAAATCGCTCAAGAGAAAGAAAATAAGGGATCATCAAAGTTTGTCTGAAGGAATTAGTTTTGAAATAGAGTTTAGAGAGAGAACAATTTACTTTCGTTCAGTACACTTTCTACCTTTAGGGGTTTTACAACTTTGTGCTTGAAACTGACAACCTGAAGTTGAATTTAAAGTCAGTTTACTTGTAATTACTTAAATTCATGTTACCCATGTCTGTTTCCTTGAATGGTATATTTTTTATGTATTTATGATGCGTGCCTAAAACTCCAAGATCTATGGGTGCAATTGTGGGGTTTGGTATTTATTTAAAGTAGTGAGTATTGTACAATGCTCTTTTTTGCTGCTGTTCATAGATGAATTTTTTATAATAAGCATGGGGTTACTTTATTGGTTAAGGTTGCAAACTTAATTCCTACTTCAAATTCCTGATCGATGCTCGAAAGAGATTTGTCGGAGTGGGTAATTAGTCCAATACTAGAATTTTATGTTTAAATCTGTAACTTGCTTGAAAATAGAGGTTATGGGTCGAATATATTTTTCCGATTCTTGGAATGGAGAATAGAGTATGTTATTGGGTTATTTTGATTGACATTTAAATGAGACTGAAAGTAGATTCCATGTATAGATGCATTGATATCAAAAGATGATTAGCGTCACTGAAGATGACTTAGCTATTCTTGAATCATCATCACTATAGAGCAACACAATTACCCCTATGTGACATCGATTTCCAATATCCACACCCCTAGATTACTTGTTTACTCTTGAATTCTTTGGTATTTTAGTTTAATTGCGATCACCGATTACCAAAGCTTTCTATTAAATTGGTGGAATTATCTACCCACTTGTTCTTACTATTACAAATAAGTGATCTTGGAATCAAAATTTCTAAAAAGGAATTCTCCATGAAATACCATTTTCTATGGGATTCGACCCCGACTCTTCATTGAGTATTATAATTGACGACAATAGTAGTCCCTTTTAATTGGTTTTAAAGAGGACATTCGAGTGTTTTAAAGAGCTTACTGCTGCCTTTTTGGAAATAATATTTCCACCCTCAAAGATTGTTAAACATCGAATCCAAATAAAAAATTTCAAGCGTATTTAAGGTGAACATCTACATGAGACGTGGATAAGGTAAAATAAGCTACTTTTTCAATGTCCAATGCATGGTGTTCCGGACAATTTGCTGCTACAATACATCTATTCTAGCCTTGATTCAGTCAATAAAGGTTTGTCTGATCAGTTGGTCCAAGGTGGATTAATGAAACAATTGTTTGACGTGGCTAGTTTATTTCTAGATGATATGAGCAAAGTTAACTGAGCATGACATACAAGAGAAAACCAACTACCTACTTTGCAACTTGGAATAATCATTGAAAAATTTGAGAAGGACCATGAATTAGATGAAAAAACATGGCCAATAAGATGACCCAACTCGATTTGCTATCTAACCATGTCATGAGAGATGGACATACATCAGTAAATGTTGTTATAATCAAAAGTGGGCAGTGCCTAGATGATTCCATGATCTACTCCTCGGTGAAGATTGATTGATCGGAGGAGAG